AAAAATGAATTAGCCTATTTGTCTTTATCACAGAGAATATTCAGTCAATGACATTATTTTTGATTTGATTCTGCAAAAAACTTCCATGTTTCCTTCATTATGAGACAATCTCAGGTTTACATCTTGAATGAGCAAAGTTTAAAGTTTAAAGCTCCTTTGTGCATCTGTCATGTTAGAGATAAGCGTATAAATACAGCATATTAACTCACACAATTTACACTTTTCTATCAGGACTCCTCTCTTGCATCTTTTGCAGGAAGAACTCTGTTTACTGAAGCACATTTTTATATTCCTCACAGCTCTCCAACATAACGACCTGTTCCTCCTGAATGCAGTCGGCAGCACAGCGTCGGCCCGGTTTGTGCAGAAAAGAAGTCAAACATTCACTTTTATGGGAGCGTGCACAGAGTCTGGTGACAAAACCTAAAACCTCCATCAGAGATAATGTGCATGATGATGGAGGGTTCAGGTTTTGTCCAGAGATTTAACACAAAGACTGCATTGAACATGCTTCCTAGTTTGGTTCTGAGATCTTTATCCATGTGTGAAATAATGCATTGGTTCATAAACGTGGCCGATATTCAAAGCACAGATGAGATGAACGATGACTGAAGACATGCGGAGCCATACGGATAAAAGCTGCTGGACGGCGTATGAAGTAAATAAGTGCACACATACCAAGTGGATACAGTTTTTTAGAGGAAGCGCTGCCACAAAAATCAACTTTAATTGGTTTCATTAAACACAAAAACAGTCAGCAGTGGGAGAACTCGCGTTTCTTTCCTCCCCAAGCCAGTGCACATGGCAACAGACAAAGCATGAACGCTCACATGATGCTCAAAACCAGCAGTCACTGATATTTAAAATAAAAAAAACACACTCTTCAGTCTACATGACCCTGTTTAAATTCAATAAGAGTGACACCGGTTTGGAGAGAAACAAAAAGTTCCCGAGGCAGGCAATACTCCGAAACAAGAATACTTATGAAAAGTATTAAACTTCAATTATTCGCTGAGGCATCGTCTTGTTTCAACACCTTAAAAAATTGTTTAAAAAAACATCTGCTGCTAATTAAAAACAAGCTTCTACCTTTTCAAAAGCTGCCGCTGCTCCGTCTGATTACGGCTGCTGTTCATGGATCTCAGCTGAAACACTGACATGTGCAGCTTAAGGCTTCAGATCCAGCTCTGTATACATTTCAGTGCTTGAACAAAGGCTTTAGTATGTCAGCTGTTGTTTTTTCTCCTTTCTTTTTCTTCCTTCTTCTTCTCCTCCGGTTTCACGCTGCCGGTTCGTCTGTGAAATGCACTCGACTCTGAAGCAACAAGCTTTCCTCCCTGTCAGACTCGGAGGCTGATCAAACTGGCTGAGGCATCACTTTTCTGCTGCTTTTCTCTTTTCGCATTCGTTAGTCTTTACAGACGGTTTTGAACACAGACACTTGTACCTGTGACAAGAAGATACACCGTGTTGCCTCCAAATCAACAAGAAACTGTTGTTTATTTTGTTGAAGTGTGACTATTCTGGTCTGCTCTATTACATTATATTCCTGAGTGAACTAAATGTGGCTTTGGGGTCTTTTTTAAAGGGTATTTTTACGGTGGCTGATGGGGGCAAATGATGAACACAATCAAGCTGCATGTACACGAATGTGTTGCATGAACAGAAATGGGCTCCAAAAAGAAAATGCTGCATATACAGCAGTGCGTTTCCGTGTTTCCAGTGTTTTCTTTTTGCAGCGCATTTCTTTTTATGCATCGCATTCATGTACATGCAGCTTGATTGTATATATGCACGTCATTTGCCACCGTCAGCCACCATGTATACATACAGATTAAGTACAGTCATGACTCGATAATCTGACCCTTAACAATCCTAAATCTTGCTATCCAACAGGTTTTTAGGAAAAACTAACGGAACCCATAAAAACAGCCTTAACGTACCGACACCCTTGGATTCTGACTCCGACATGACATCTTATGTCACAAATCAGGATAACGGCGTATTATCTGACTGAACAATCCCACAGATTGGCTACATTCACACTGCAGGACTTGATGCTCAATTTGGATGTTTTGTGAAATCCAATTTTTTTGTGAGTTCCTTCACATTTCCAATTAAATACGACTTGTATGTGATCTGCTGTGTGAACTTCATACGACTCAAAAGTGTCCCACATGCGCAGAAGAGGACATGACGACGTCACACGCAGCGAGCGCGCTCAGTGTTTATGGAAGCAAACACGGATGGTCGCGGTGGTGATGGTGGAAACAGAAGTGTGAGCGCTAACTAAACTAGCATCAGCAGCCAAGTACTACCTGTGTGCTCTGGACACTTCCACCCCGTTGGAGCGCTGGAAGTGTCCCCCGACCGCACCGAATATTCTGATATTCATCATTAATTGGGCCTGAATAGCTGGAGACCAGAAAGTTCTATTGGGACCAGCCCTACTAGTTATTATAACAACTATAAATAATAAATATTACCAACTAATGAGCCTTCAAGCATCAAACCCTCCTTGTATCTCGACCTCCGTCTTGACAATCTGACAGCCGAGTTCTG